TCCGCAAGTTAATACCTAGATGCTGTATGAAGGCTGATTCGCATAAAGATGGTACGTCAGAACCAGGCAGATCCGGGAGACATGACAGTGCTGGCGAAAACCATGTGAACAATCGGTAAGAAACTCAAGCTGTATCTAGGCTGTCAGTAATGAAGATGACTGAATTATGTGTCACTCATCGCTAAGCGTCTGTTGGGGTAAGCTGGCTTTCACAACAACCGGGTTCATCAGACTTTCCGAATAAGAAGCTTATTCGGAGCGTCAAATCCAGTAAGTGAGCGGACAATGTCTTGTGTCTCATTTTCGACAGCATGATCTTTTCTGCCTTCAAGATGTCTGTGAATAGTAGTCCGTGGTGCTCCAGTCGCAGGATCCCGTATACGATGGTGCAAAGGTTCAATACAATAACCCTCGAAAAAGGTCAAAATCCACTATTCGCCCAAATTGAGAATGAGTGGTAGTGAGAGGCTCCTGTCAGCGGGCGAAATTCATAGCTCTCTCAGAAAGGCAGGAACACAGAAAAACCTGGAAGGTCGTGGAAGAGAGCAGGGAGTAAATAAACAAACATCCATAACTTTTTACCGGCAACAAAAGTTGGCTTAGTATACATCGGACTTACCATCCCTTTCTGTCAGCTCGTCGAGAATGGCACTTCCTCCTTCAACTGCTAACTGGCATTGGAAGAACAAGAACATCACGCGTTGGGGTTCTGAATGGTTTGAACGCGAACTCGTGACGATCTCTGTCAAAGGCGACAACGAGAACGAGATCGTTTCGGTTTCGAAAGTCACTGAAGTGGACGGTGATATAGAGCTTGGACAACGAAAATCCAAGTGCGTTTTGCACATCGTTTGATAGAATCTTAGTTGAGTTCGCGACTGACTATTACAGATTAATCACCATCTACGATTGCAAGATTGCGCTCAAATGGACTGGCACAGCAAGCGATGGAACCGAGGTCAATGGATCCCTGACAATTCCGGAGGTGTCGCATGAAGTCACTCTAGATGGTTTATCCGATTACGCCGTTAGTGTTTTCTCGTCTTCTGGAGTGATCGAGTGGTTTACGTTTTCAATAGTATACATGGTCTCTTTCTACTGCCTTGTCACCTGCGGTAGAGGCTTTGTTCAATGTTGCAAAATCGCGCCTGCCTGCCGCTCTCGAGGCCAAGTTTGCCGAATTCCCTGTCGCGATTATTGACACGCATGGTAAAGATTTGACTGTTAGCGGTGAACCCAGTCGTGTTGGCACACCAGCTTCCGGCATAGCTGGTGTCCCTGCTTCTGCTTCGTCTTCTTCGCCTGCACCTGTTCAACCAAAGAAAGTGGATCCCAAAAAGATCAATACAAAAGTGGTCACAGTCCAGGCCACTTTTCAGGCACCTGCGGATGACCTCTTCACGCTCCTTACTGATGAAAAGAGAATCCCAATTTGGACTCGTGCCCCTGCTAAGGTCAATGTTCTCTGTTTCATCATCTCCACTCCTTCTCCTGACTGTGAGCTCCCCAAAACAGTCTACACCTCAGGCCGGATCTGATTACTCTCTATTCGGTGGCGGCGTCAGGGGTAAATATGTATCACTGACGCCTTCACGTGAGATCGTGCAAACATGGTCGCTGCAGAGTCCAACTTGGCCTGAAGGTAAGCTCCCTTTTGTTTACGAAACGCCGAAACAATTTGATAGCTAATATTACCATTACCCGCAGGGCACTCTGCTACCCTCACAACCACTCTTGAGCAGTCACTGGACTCCACCAAGATTACATTCTCCCTTGACGGCGTCCCGACCGGCATGGAGGACGAGATTAAGCGTAATATCGAAGGCTATTAGTCAGTTATATTGATTTTTTGATAATCACTACAACGCTGATCTGTCCGTCATTTGTAGCATTCATGGTTTCAATTCCATTGGGTACGTTCGACTTATTCCATCTGAACCTACATATACGTCCTCCCAAACCCGGCCCGTCAAGCCGTCCAAAGTCTTTCCCAAAAATACGCCGTTGACATCATATATTCCCGCGGTTACCATAGCAGCCCTAGTCCTCGTGGCCGCCTTTTCAATACCCTATCTCTCTTCTTCGCCTTCCAAATAATGGCTGTGAATAAAATTATTGATTTCATATCGTTTTCTTTTTTCTTGTTTCAGGTTGGGCTCAGAACTCTAGAATTAACGATGCTGGGTTTCGGGGTGGGAGATAAAGCTTGATGTCTGTGGCTAGTTCTACTGTAAAGAATGATAGAAGAATGTAAAGAGAATAAGTACTTATAAAGTTTATGAAAAAATCTGTTGTGATCGGTTCTCGTCGACCCTGGAAGCTTTTACATAAATTCAAGTATGTATATGCACTACATATATCCGAAGCCGAGGAAAACTTGAAGGGAACGTTTTCTGTGAGGTTGCTATAATGGCGTCCGAGCCAATTGAACCTAGTGAATGGTATTCCCTGCAACGTACGCTTCAAACCCCTGCACATGTATCGTCTTTAGCATTCGGCCATGCTGGGCACCTATTTGCGGGTTCAGGTATCGGTTTCATTCATCTACAGCCTTAGCCGAGTTAATTTAACATCTTTATAGACGATGGTTCGCTCCGTGTCTATGACCTCTCCTCATTCAGAGTTATAAAGGCCATACGTGGGCTAGGAAGCGAGGTTTCCTCCCTAGTCTGTGTGAAAAGACCTGGATCCGAACTCCGGGATGTTTGGCTCGCCAGCGGACGTCGCGTACGCTGCCCCACATGATTTTCATTCTGGAGACAATTTGAGCTCTATTTAGATCATGAAGTTTCAATTGGACTCTCCGAAGCTGATACAGACTGTGGATGATGTGTTATCTGTGGTCGACATATCAGTTTCCGATGAGAAAGACGACGTTTTGAACGAAGTGCGGGTTCCGCGTTGCGCAACGCGACGCTTGATGATACTGAATGAGTTCAGCTAGATTGCACTGAATGCAAATAAAACATATATTGCATTCAGCTTGGACTCTGGTACTGTTGGCGTTGTAGATCTCACAACGAAAGTCGTCTCGAGAATGAAGTCAAAACACGAAAGTGTACGTGTTCGCTTGAAAATTTAATTTCTTTCTCAACTAACGAGCTACAATAATAGATTTGCGGGTGCGTCAAGTTCATTCCTGACCGTCCCAGGGAGCTCGTTAGCGGCGGATATGACACTGCCCTCCTACACTTTGACTACTATGAGGGAAAACCTCTCTCAACGCGTAAAATTCGTGTGTTGATTTCCTCCTGGCTGCTGAAAAACTCTGACTTGACATCATTCAGCACCGTACCAGGTTGTAGGTGGCATGGCGTTGTCTCCACCCTTCATCGTCTCGATCGCGATATCATCCACAGGCATTATAGCAGCCGGGACTGCCGACGGTCGTCTAATGATAGGTTGTGGTGGCTACAAAGCGCCAAAAGGCAAGGACAGTGGTGGTAAGAAGAAACGGAGCAGAAAATGGGATGGTCTAGATAATGACGAGGAAGTCGTCACGAAGATTGCCGAAGGACCCTTGGTAGCGCTGTAAGTGCACCTATCTGCTTGAGGATGGTTTTCTCAATACCTGTCTTTCATAGAACTTTCGAAGGTTCAAATATATTGACAATATCAACCCTTCTGGGAGTCATGACACGCTATGAAGTCGTTTACGATTACGATGAAGGCAGTGTCACGCTGGACAAAATATGGGAACAGGAGACACAGAGTGTCAAAAAGGTCAACGCCCTTGTTGTAGACGAGAACAGAGTTATAGTTGGTGGACTTACATCTGAGGGCAAAGGCGTCATAGAAATATGGAAAAAGGATGTTGTGATGTCTCCCGAAAACGGTGAAAAATGATCTATATTGATAATGCAGTATCCCTCGCGATGTAATATATATAATTATGGGGATTTGCTCTTCTCTTGAGCTTTCTCTGCTGCCAGTTGTTGCTCAAGTTCTTCTATCCTCTTCAAGTGACTATCCCTGGTTGCTTTCATTTTCTCGAGATATTCCTCCTCAGTAACTTGATGTATTCCAATCGTAGCCAAAAAGCGTTCTGTCATTGTTTTTGATCGTGTCTCCGGTTTTGCATGTGTCTCGTTTGTGGAGGCCTTGACCTTGAGGTCAGAGATATATCGTAGGCGACTTACAGTCGCTTCGTTGTATGCCAATTGAAGAAGTGTGCATACGGCACCAATCGTGAGCATGCCCGGTATGATAGCCCGAGGTCCAGCTGCAATCCGATGAACTCAGAGAATTGTGACATGGCTTCTGTAAAAGGGTGCGCACATTTCCAACCCCGTAAAGCACCGCCAGCAATGGCCCCACTCAGGCCACTGTCTAGTGTGTTGTGTTTTCGCAAGTCCGACCATGTTGAGGGTTGCGGAGGCGCATCGGTAGGGTTGCTTATTCCAAGGTCATGTCGTCTTCGAGAATATTGTGGCCAAGGTAGGGTGTTAACAAGAAGTGGAGAAATTACAATTTCACGAAGTGCTAGAGAAACTGGATCAATCATCCGGCCCTGACGAACGGAGCACAACGAGAGCTATACCAAAAAAGCTGCACGCTGTCACTCCGCTGTTCACTCCTGCGGCCATAGCCATGACCGCATATTGGGGACTTCGTTTGGTAATGCCGTATAGCCCGGTAACAAATGTACAAATTCCTGCTGATGAAGAGTTTTGGTGAGCCCCACTTCAGATGCTCGTAAGGTATATTTGAAGACGGACTTGCATGTTGTCACAGTTCCACGAACAATTGTGTCTATGGCCTGGTCCATGATGAAGGCAAACTTTTGTGGAGAGTACAAATAGAAGTCAACAACGCCTTGACCTGATTTGGTGCAAGCTCTTTGAAGTCATAAAGTTGTAGTAATCAGGCAGTATCATTTCTCTGTGCAGTCCCGGAATTTGATCAGCCACAGCAGAATTGACAAAAAAAAACCAAAAAAATCACAAGGGGCCTATTTTTTTGGTCAGGATGGAACAAAACCAGAAAAAACGTATGAATCTAGCCCACCGCGAGGGTCGAACTCGCAGCCTTCAGATGCCACTGCCTAGTAGTAAGAGTCTGACGCTCTATCCGATTGAGCTAGGCAGGCATTGATACAATTGACAATAAAAAATACTTAAATGGAATATGTTGATGTGAGTTATGCTGGTTATGACGACTGTCATTAGATCTGTGCACCGCGATTGAAAAAGCGAAGCGAGGCGTATCTTCATGCTTGTTGAGGATTAGACTTGCGCAACGATCGACAGGTATTTCCATTCTGGGATTTACCTCCATGAGCACGTTTAGCCACAGTGTTTACCAGTCTTTGTTTTTTCCTTCAGTATAGTTTTTCGTACACAAACAGTAGCCCTCAGTCAACTACATTATTGCGAGTGACTGAGGGTGAGTCTCTAAAATATTACCTGTAGACTAAATACTTGTTATATTCTACAGGTAATAAAACCAGAGTCAACTTTATTATTGCGAGTGACTGAGGACTAGATACTTGTTATATTCTACAATACTTATGGATATGACACGCGCGAAGGCTCCTAAGCCCGACTACATAGGACTGACTCAAAAATTTTGTTCTCACCATCAAAATTCCTGATGCAAATCCTTCTGTTACATACCATCGCTGCTCAGCTCCTTGCTTGGCAGAGTGACCCATGCGGAAGCATTGTTATATTTCCAGATGCGACAGAGCTAGTCAGCGATCGCGCCTTTGCTCGTCGAAGTCCCAATTGTAAGCTCCGGAGTCTGTAGTATCTGAAGTCGTGTCTTTTTGGGATCCTTCTGCTAGGCTTGAGCTCCTTCTTGAGCCTAAGCACCTATAGGAGTATCCCGCAGTTGACTGAAGCAGCCTTCAACCGACAGTAGTCTCTCATGTCTCAATTGTGAGGCGCCACCTCATGAAACTTTATATAATACAGCGTAACCGTGAACAGAGTTGCGCGCGTCAAATCTGCATCTCCATGCAGTGCGCACAATTGCTCTGCACAGCATGCGTTGAAGTACGTACGAAGGTAAGACTTGCTTATAACTCCATGCACGCTGGGGCCATAGTCTATAAGTTTGTGTTCTCAGGTGTAGACTTCAGGCCTTTGAGAAGGATCTGCAGTAGAAGTCCAATCACAGGGTACGGTATCCCAGTCTGCGTTAAATTCCTATCCGGGTTTTTCGAAAGGATAATCGCCACTTGTCCAGAGGTCTTCTGGATATTTGGCAATGAACACGAGTGGGAGGATCTGTGCGCCACCCCGGCCGATTGAACCTGTGATTATCAATCCGCCTGAGGAGATTGACGACTGTTGGACGCAGCATTGCGCCAGCAAACACCGTAAGCGTCCTAAACTTTGATGACCAATGAAGGGTCAATATTCCATTTAATCTCACCCCTGATATGACAATATAGATATATATATACGTACTATTGGCAGACACTACCCTCAGTCAAGTACACGACGACTGAGGGTAAGTGAACATATATTCAGATATCATACGTTACGCTCACTAGTATTACCTAGTCCATTGAGTACTTACTCGTGTTCTAGGTAAGATAATACAGTCAAGTACACGACGACTGAGGTCCATTGAGTACTTACTCGTGTTCTAGGTCTAAACCTCTAACAACGACTCATCAAAGGGGATGTTTCGGAAGGCAATATCAGGATGGTGCAGGACAAGGGGAAGATAAGGTTTTGGTGGCTGAAAGAGGGGAATGAGCGAGGAAAGAAGCTGAAAGCGC